TAGGATGCTGGGCGGAAGAGGAAGTGAGGTCATACTCTGCTCTGCTCCCGGACAGACCCGACAGCTCTGCTGGAGCAGAGACGCCATGCTCAGCTCTCCCAGGCAACTCCAACCCATGATGGACTTAGGCTGGAATCTTCCCGGTAAGCGCACCTTGGGGTGCTTACACACATCATTAGAAATGGGCTAGTCCAGGTGCGAGAATTAGCCTGTAAGGGCTAGAGTTCATGGGCCAAGCAGTTCTTAAATGAATACAGTTTGTGTGTTGTTATTTCGGGGCATAAGCTAGCCAAGCGGCTGCGGTGCTGGGGACACAGCCCCACCGCCGCTCCTATTTCAACATACAATGCCCCAAATACACATTTCCATCTGTTGGGTTGGTTCTGTCATGTCTTCTCCTAGACAGCTAGAGTTCAAGTTCAACTGAGCAAAAGAAAAGCATGGCACAACAGTAAGTTCTTTCCCCGGATCTTAGAGAACAGGCCACAGAAACGGGAGCACAGAGGGTTAAAGAGAAAACTTAGAAAGGCAGGGCTTTTGGCACCCTACTCTGCAAGGCAATCTTAAATATAAAAGCAATTTTAACTTTCACATTAAAATTGTGTCTCGGAAAAGAAACAAGTTGATTAGCATGCCACCACAGGCCAGCTCTGCTACACAATATGTCAAATTGCTTACCAATTTTATTGGGATCATCGCCAGGTTTGTTCTGGATAAGAAGGCTTTTGGTAGGAAAAACACACAAGCCATTGGTCCCACCAGCAAAGAGCATACCATACTTATTGGATATGGCAAGCACACTCGAGCGCTCCTTGGGCAACTCCTCAGGAGAGTCAAAGATCCTCACTTTCTTCAATGCTCTAAACTGAAAGTCCTGTTTTGGGGGGTGAAACAAGATCAATTTCCAGGAAGGAAGAAATTAAATTGTGTTTACTATTATAGTCCATAAACAAAATACACTATAACCCTGAGGCCAACAATTTTCTGTTTTTAGACTCTCTATATTTTTGGTGATGCATGGCTTAATATTCATTAACATTTGTTGAATGAAATACCGAGGGCTGGATAGAGGGCTCAGTGGTTAAGATCACTAGCTACTATTCCAAAAGATCTGGATTCAGTTTCCAGCATCTATATAGCAGCTCACAACTGTAACTCCAGTTCCTGGGGATCCAACAACCCCACACTGTTAGTCTGTAATCACTTTGCTAAGTGGCATTTGTGCCCTACCCCACCCAATAAACCCATCTTTAGGTCAGGGTTTTAGTGAAAAGAATGTGACAGCTCCAAGAGAAAATGTTTCTACTGAGCCGTGTGGTATGTCTCACAAACAGTGTCTGGAACAACCACACACACTATTTTCCTCGTAGCGCATGTTTAATGCATATGTACGCAAAGGTAGACGGATATATTCTCAAATCTAGTTGAATATAGTGGGCAAAGGATCGCACAACTTTCCCCACATCTTTGTGATTATCACCCTAATAGTCATGACTATATTACTGGGTCTTGATGGCCTTTGTGTGGAGGGCCAGTGTGATGAAGCATTACAAAAAGAGCTCTCCTTTCTGGTACTGGCAGCAACACTGCTACTCATCCTGTGGTTCTAAGGCCTCTCCACCCCAGCATAGCTGACGAGCATGACCCATGCCCATCAGGGGGCTCAGCACAGGCGCTGATGCTCCAGAAAAGAGCCACTATTTCTAAGCGTGATATGGGCCACTCTCCCGTATAAGCATTTTAGCGATTCTAGCGATTCGCGCTATTCACACAAATGGCTAACTCCTTTCTTCAATTCACTCATTTTCAGCTGTCTATGGTTCTGTGTTTTCATTCTGCCAGATTATATAAGTGACCTATCAATACAGTAGCCACACGTGGGGGGGAGGGGCATCCCTCTTATCATTACAGCCAAGTGCCTTCCCTTTTATTTCCTGCCTTCGAGCTGACTTCCAGGGCCAAACTGTCTTTCTATCCCAATTAACTAGGGGTTTTGGAAGGCAGAAGTGTTTCTTGGTTCCACCTTGGGTAGTCTGGACCACCTTCAAGTATCAGCATGGAGAAAGCTAAGCGAGGGGCTACACCAACTGTGATGATGCACACCAATAATCCCAGCACTTGGGAGGTGGAGGCAGGGGCATCAAGAGTGCAAGACCAGCCTCAAGCAGACCGAAGCCAACTTAGTTGGACTACAAGAGACCCTGTCTTAAAATAAGACTTAAGGCTTCGGCCACGTGACTTTGGATAATTTATTTTCAGAACTTCAATTTGCTCTCTTTTAAAGAGCTAGCTGTAGGGGCTATGGTGACGATGGCCACAGCACCTCGCACGCAATAAACAAAAAGTCGTTGTTACTTCTATGGCGACCGGCACGTGAGAGTAGCAAGGGTAACTTAAGAGGCGTGGCCAAGCCCACCTAAGGGCAAGTGACCCGCACTTGGAGAGAACTCACGCCAGCGACACGCACAGGACTGCGGCCGCTGTGAGGCGGGCGCTCTGAACCTGACAAACTGTTGGAAGCAGGCGGGGGTGGGGGGCGTTCCAGGGCAACTCCAGGGCTACCGCAGGCAGGGAGGCCCCAGCCGATCTCTACCTTCATCTCCCGCTCAGGGACTATGGCATCCATATCGTCTCCCATCGTGCCGCCTTCGAGGCGTCCAAGAAGCTGCCGCTGCCGCCCGCAGCCTTTCCTACACAGCCCAGGCCACTCGGGCCCCGACTTCCTCTCCCTGGTGCCAGCGGCGCGCGGGAGACGCGCGCTTCCGGCGCGCATAGCTGACGTCAACCCACGCCGGTTTGTGGGGTGGCCCGAGTCAGTCGCGGGCTCAACCGAAGTCGCGCGCTTGCCTGACCACCAGCCCCATTGGCCAGTTTTCCGGGGTGTGGCCACGAGGCGCGCGCCGACGCCCTCCCTTCCCGATCCGCGCTCACACACCCGTTTTCGGAAGGTTTCTGTCGTTGCTCGGCGCACGCTTTTGTCAATCAAAGACTGGAAAATTACCTGCAGCTCCTATATGCAGGGCTGTTAGTAGCTTCCGACTTAGAGAAGTTAGGAACTTGAAACCGTGTCCAAGGGACAGTTTTGAGAGGTTTAGGAAGAGCGGGCAAAGAGATTCAGATAGTAGGTGGACTGGCGTGTCCCGGTGCTGAACCCTTTTGCCCCAAGCTGAAAACGAAGCGGAAAAGGAGTAAAGATACGTTTTGGCAATCATTTCAGAGCAAAAGCCATATCCACAGTGTCTCCTTAAACCTTCCAGTAGGGGTTTGGTGACTTTTAATAGAAACCCAGTTATGGTGGCGTGTGCCTGCCAATATCACCTCTCGGGAGGTGGAGCCCTGAGGGTCAGGAACTCAGGGCCATCCTCGGCTACTTGGCTATCCTTAGCTATCCTGCTTTACACGAGGCCCGGTCTGAAAAAAACGGTTTAATGAAATAAGGGAATTCCACACAAAGCGGTTAACAAATTAACCAGTGGCTCTCAGCCGAGACGGGTTAAGACCTAGATGTACTAACTGGTGTTGAACTTTCTGGAAAAATAAATGTAGAGGTTCCTAACTTCGAGCTGGTGTGTCCGGTCCAGAGGGCATATTCTGTCGTGTGCTGTTTTCAACGAGTTATTTCTGTGTCCCACGCCTCTTCTCATTGTAAAATAAGAGCCGGGCGTGGCTAGTATTCTGGCGTCTGTACTGGCTCTGCCCTTAGGGTCCTGACAGATTGCGTCCTCAGCTGCAGCCACTAAGTGTTGCATGTTAGTTGGGTTTCCTTTCCACCTCCTCTCTCTCTCTCTCTTTCCTTCTTTCTCTCCTGCCATTCCTGTCCAGAGAGGCTGATCTCTTCCCTCCCCTCTCCCTCTTTCCCATTCCTGCAATAAAAACCCCTCCACATGAGCTCTGCTGTATGGCATCTTTCTCTCAACATTTTTTTTTGTGGTGGCGGTGTTTTTTTTTTTTTTAATTTATTAGGGTTTTTTTTGTGTGTGTAGGGTTCGAGACAGGGTTTCTCTGTAGCTTTGGAACTTGCCTTGTAGAGGTTGGCCTTGAACTCACAAAGATGTGCCTGCCCCTGCCTCCAGAGTGTTGGGATTAAAGGCGTGCACCACCACAGTCCGGCTAGATTTTCCAAATTCCCACTCACTCCCCTCCTCCCAGTGTTGTTGTTGTTATTATTATTATTATTATTTTATTACAACAATGTGTGGCACAGAGGCAGGCAGATCTCTGAGTTAGAGGCCAACCTGGTCCACAAAGTGAGTTCCAGCACAGCTAGGGCTACAGAGAGCTGAGTAGAAGTGGGTCTTGGGCTTAGTCAGATGAAGTCAACTGTCTGTCTGGGACTCATTCCACTGGTACCTTTGTCAGCTAGCTCTTCTGAATTTACTAAGCCCAGAGCTGTCCCCAAGAAACACAAAGACACTGGTGAGTTTGTCTAGTTTATTCCAATCTGCAGATGGTGTCCCACCCATACATACACACGCACACACGTCATTCACCCGTATCTACCCGACAAAAGTCTATTGAATCACAGGGCAAAGCCATACTTGGCTTGTCAGTCCCCATGTGTCTGGTGACACCAGTTAGATTTGGTCTTTTTCAGAAGTAAAGATAGCTGATGTCCCAAGAAAGCTAAGCCCGTAAACTAGAGAGGTTAAGAATTCTGGAGCCAAAAGACAGATACAGCTTGAAATATATGCAAACTCCTCCCTCTAAGGCTTATTCTTAAATCTCTTCCCAGGGGTTGATCTACAGAAAACTGAAGGGGCTCACTGGGTCCCCTCCCAATAGAGAGCCTCTTCCTGTACCTTGCAGAGGTCAGAGGCACACTCCTTTGCTGTCCTTTATGGGGGTGCTATGTAATCCCATGAGTTGTGGACCCACTGAGCTTGACTGGTTCTACCTTCCTCTGTCACAGAGAATTGGACAGCTGAATACAGTCCAAGGTCCCAACCCAACCACTGAACGAGGCAGAAGGAATGAGGAGAGATGCTAATCTTTTTTAAAAAAAAAAAAAAAAGTCAACAGATGGGGTGAGGGTAGACAGGATTTTCTGTTACAGGGAGGAACGCTGGGGTTTAAACATCAACTAGACTGCATTTGATGCGTAGCTAAACGGTGTATGCTGAGCTGGACTGGTTGAGACCAGAGGATAACGGGGCCAGGAGGGGCCAATCATTCTGTGCCATTTGCTTCGGTCTCCAGCTGCTGTGGGACACTAAGGAGCCCCAGGAAACCACACTAGCTCAATGGTTTCCAGTCTTTTCCCACTTAGGGGTTAGGCTCTTCTAACAGTCTTACCAAGTCACGAGTCAGCTGGAATTCCTGGGACTACAGGTTACTGACCTCTTGCCGCTGCTGCCCCTCCCCATTTCCTAACATCACACTGTCCTTGGCTGGGTGTGATTCCCCAGGAGACCCACGTTTCATGTTTCAGCCCATTTCACTGTTGGGTTCTGGACTCAGTGCATATAGTGAATGCTTGATAAATTTGTTTGCTGAATGACTGTGTCTTGTCCTGAGTGGCCAGGGCAACAGGTTCCAGAACACGGGCAGGGTCAGGCTGAAGTCCCCACTCAGGTAAGATAGGTCAAGTTTGATACTCACTGCAGTAATTCTTGGAAATGGTCTCTGAGGATCAGTCAAGAAGGTGAAGGGAAGACAGACTGCCAAGGCAGGCTTGGCCTTTACCTGAACCCACAGCCAGTCTGGAGGGTGACACCTTCCTCAAGTATCAGGCTGGGAGATAAGTCACCCTTCTCTTTGACCAATGCACCTGACCACCTGGGTGCCAGTTCATGCTCTCTCTAGATTAACTCCCTGACCTTCCAGCAAGGTCCTTAACCCCTGTAGGGCACATAGTGAAATGAGAGGTATGACCTGGTTAAAATCTGCAGGTGACCTGGGTCTCATCCCCAGGCTCCACCCAGGTCTTGAGTGACTGGAGAAGGGAGCTAGGAGGTGGACATAGCACACATCAAGACAGAGCAGGACTTAAAGCTTGGAATAGGCACTCAGCAAAGAACTGCTGAGGACTGGGTGAGTGAAGGGAGAACTGGGTGAGTGGAGGGAGGACTCGGTGAGTGGAGGAAGGAGCGGAAATAGCCGGATTCAGGGCATCTTACAGTCAGCTTGTTTCTCTGTTTTAGGTCCATCATGATCACCTGACTCCTCTTCTGCCCTGGCACCCTCAGCATCCTCCCTAGAAGTGGGGCTCCCCAGAGCCACTATCTTCACCTCTGCCTCTGAGACCCTTTCCTGCCCAACAAGGGACAGCAGACTGCACTATCCCTCTGAGCTGTCTGTAAAGGTATGGTCACAAGAAGTAAAGCCGGAAGTTCCTTCTGGTTCCTTTGAAGGACTCCAATTCTTCCATTCCCCACCTTGTGTCACGTCACTGTGGACCGAGAGTGGCAAGAACCAAGGGGAATCAGCTGCGTCTGTGAGGCACCCAGGAACACCCTGGAGCTTTGTGCCTGCTCAGGATTGTTTGAGAGTGGGGAGAGAGGATGGGCAACAGGGTCAAACCTGCGGCCTGAATTTAGCTTAGAAACCTAGAAAGAGGCTGGGCGGTGGTGGTGCATGCCTTTAATCCCAGCAATTGGGAGGCAGAGACAGGTGAATCTCTGTGTGTTTAAGGTCAGCCTGGTCTGCAGAGTAAGTTCCAGGACTGTCACACAAACACTGTCTCGAGAAACCTAGAAAGATGAATTGATGGGCAAGACCCTCTTCAAACATAGGAACTCAGGTGTGCGGCCTCCATGCCCTCTCCAGTTTTGATGTCAGTCCTTCTGTGTAGGGAGGGCAGGGCAGCAGGAAGCAGAGAGCAGGGGTCCTGAGGCTTAGGGTTCCCCAGTCTCGTTAAGGCAGGTAACATGTGCATCCATAAAGAATCAGAAATGAAGAAGAAATGAGTCCATTAGGACAAAACATAGAAGGCAGATGACAAGGAGTGGAGAAAGCAGAGAGCCAAGGGCGGACGGCAGCCTGGAGGGTCCAGGCCGGTCCTCAGGGCAGGCTGGCGATGTCTCTCTCGGGAGGGGGGCCAGCTGGCTTGGGGCTGCTCTCATTGGCTTTTCCTTCAAACATCATGACCCTGGTTTAGAGATGAAGAAAACAAAACAAAAGGGTTAAGACTCCTGCCCTCAGACAGAGATCTCCCCAGCCTTCACTTTGCTGGTCCTCAACAGAACGTCCCCAAGGCTATTCTGGGGAGAGCTGCGTGAAAGATCACACTTGCCAGGTGGTGGTGGCAGAGGCAGCGGAGGTGGCATGGTGGTGGCGCATGCCTTTAAATTCCAGCACTTGGGAGGAAGAGGCGGAGGCAGGTGGATCTCTGTGAGTTCAAGGCCAGCCTGGTCAACAGAGCACATTCCAGGACAGCCAGGCCTACACAGAGAAATCCTGTCTCAAAATAAAAAAAGAAAGAAAGAAAAGAAAGATTACACTGGTAGCTGTGTGGAAGGCTCTTGTGGTCCTATTTCACAGAGAAAAAAACTGGGGCACAAAGTGGCAGTGGAACTCCCCAACTGCTCAGGCAGTCCAAAGTGGAAGAGGGACAACCCTCTAGGCCTCTGGCTTCCAGGCCTGTATCTTACCATCTGAGCTGTCTGAAAAAGAGTGGGTTGGGCCAGAGCTCTTCTCAAGAATCCCATCAGATCTTTAAAAAAAAAAAAAAAAAAAAAAAAAACCTAACCAATTACTGGTCAGTCAGTCACAGTGGCGCATGCCTTTAATCCCAGCACTCGGGAGGAAGAGGCGTGCGGATCTCTGTGAGTTCAAGTCCAGCCTGGTTTGCAGAGCAAGTTCCAGGACAACCAGAAATACATACAGAAACCCTGTCCCAAGAAACAAAAAACAAAAAACCACCACACAACAGACACATATATCACACATATGGGGACACAGACACACACACACACACACAC